AATCCCATGTTACATGGTTATCATAAGGAATGAACAAAGTGAGATAACTTCTGGCAAGCACCGAGCACATAGCAGCCACTCAACAAGTTCCAATAGTCATAAGATGGCACCAGATAGTTCTAAGAAACTTACTCTAGTTTCTCCACTTTACAGTTGGAGTGTCTGAGACCTTCACAAAGATACTTCACCCCTCTGTCCCCCAGGGGATTTTCACTCAGGTCCAGCTCAGTGAGGTGTGGGTTGCAAATGAGAACAGAGGCAAGATACTTGCAAACAGCCTCTGAGCTTTCTGGGAGAAGGCTAGCACACAACCTGGAGGGAACAATGTACAGAGACAGAATTGGCACTTTTTAGTGTAGTAGTCATTCCCTATCCACGATACTGCATAAGCAGAGAAAATAAAGACCCACAGATACAAAGACCCCCAATCTTGGGCATGTCACAGCCCCTTATCCCCTATGGCAAGAACTTGTGCAATGCTTCTAAAACAATGTGTCCCACCGTGGAAAGTCAATAAATGTTGATTGCCTGAAAAAAGAAAAGGGTTGGTAGGGAATATTAAGATGATATCCTCTCATTTTAAATCCTTATATGAATTTAGCATTCTACTTCATATCTTCTTTCAAATCCCAGGGGGAAAATTCTATAATCATCCTTCATAAATTTTACAGCCAAATGGTCTCTCTTTTTCTCTTATCTACATGTATGTATGTATTTATTTATTTAAGACAGAGTCTCACTCTGTTGCCCGGGCTAGAGTGCCGTGGCATCAGCCTAGCTCACAGCAACCTCAAACTCCTGGGCTCAAGCAATCCTCCTGCTTCAGCCTCCCGAGTAGCTGGGAATACAGGCATGCACCACCATGCCCGGCTAATTTTTTTCCTACATATTTTTAGCTGGACGGCTAATTTCTTTCTACTTTTAGTAGAGACGGGATCTCGCTCTTGCTCAGGCTGGTCTTGAACTCCTGACCTCGAGCGATCCTTCTGCCTCGGCCTCCCAGAGTGCTAGGATTACAGGCATGAGCCACTGCACCCAGTCTATTATTTATTAATTTGCCATCCTTAAAGACACTCAGCCCATCACTACCATCCATATAATATTCTTTCTTTGGCACAAAGTGTGTTTCTTTTATGACCTTCCTGTCTTCTCAATCTTTGTTTCTCCATATTAAGCAGTCCAATTCCTTGAACCATTTGTCTTCAACTTTTTCTTCCATCACTTTCAAGAATTTCTAGATATACACTACAATCTTTGAATCTTTAATTTTTTTCTTGACTTACCAGGCTCTAAACTCAGTCTTGAAGACAGCTCATAATGAGATGTATTTACATCTCCCCAATTTAGAAATTTTAAATAGAGGCACGTTGCATAAAATGAGTTTTCAAAGTGGATTTTTAAAAGCTTTAATGCTAAAGAAATTTTGCTTTAAAAAATCCCACATATATATTGTGACGGTTAATTTCATGTGTCAAATTGGCTAGGCCATGGTACCCAGATATTTTGTTAAACATTATTCTAGATGTTTCTGTGAAGGTACTTTTTAGGAGAAATTAACATTTTAATCAGTAAACTTTGAATAAAGTAGATTACCCTCCACAATATGGGTGGGCCTCATCCAATCAGTTGAAAGCCTTAATAGAAAAAGACTGACTTCCTCAGAAGAAAAGGGAATTCTGCCAGCAGACAGCTTTCAGACATGAGCTGCAACATTGGCTCTTTCCTGTGTTTCTAGTCTGCCAGCCTGACCTGCAGATTTTGGACTTGCTAGCCTCCATAACTGCATGAGCCAATTTTAAAAAAAATAAATCTGTCTCTCTGTCTCTGTCGTTCTCTCTGTCTTTACATATATATATATATATATACACACACACACACACACACACACACCCATATACATACACACACACATACACACACATCCTATTGATTCTGTTTCTCTGAAGAACCCTAATACATATATGATGACAAATTTTTGATTAAGGTGATTATTATGGACTTGAAGTCAGACACATCTGGGTTTTAAATTATGCGTCTGCCATCCTTCCTAGCTTAATGACTATGGGCCTCCATTTTCTCATCTGCTAAAATCGGAATAATAATCTGGACCTCTCACAGCTGTTGTGCAGATTAAAAGAAATCATGTATACAAAGCATTCAGCACAATGCTTAAGACAAACTAATTGCTCAATAGGTGTGAGTTATTATCATTGATGATACTGTCACTTAAAATGAAAATTCTCTTCATAAGCTTGGTACATAGGAACAATTTTAGTAACTGCCACTTTTATTCTTCCTTTCCATGACTCCTTGACATGTGTTTTGATCACATGGCATCCATCTTGAGTTGCATATTTTTCAAATATTCTTGCAGAATGGAAACTAACAGTTACAACTTACTTGAGCTTCTGTAATTTGCAATTTGGATCTTTCAAGCCTTCACAGAGCAATTTCAAAGCTGAAGCTTCCAGTTTTGTTTCACTAAATTCCAGCTCAGTGAGCCACTGATTGGTGCTAAGAACAGCTGCTAGAGCACCACAAGAAGCAGGAGAGATAAGGCACCGGTACAACCTTTAGAGAACAGAAGAATAACCTCATTACCTTATTCATGCTCTCCCCCCACAGAAATAGAAATTGACCAATAAATGATAGGAATACAAACAACAAATTAACCTGCTATCGGTTACCTCAATGTCTGTAATATACAGTTGGGCTGTTTTAATCCTTCACACAGAAGCTTCATTCCTGAATCTTCCAGGGTATTTTTTACAAATTCCAAATCTGTCAGATACTGGTTTGTTTCAAATACTGAAGAGAGGTCCCTACCACAAGAAGCTGTGAGGTGACAGAAAATCAGTCTGTGTGGAGAAAAACACATTTCAGAAAAAAAAATAAGGCTCTCTTTAAAGGTACTTGTTTGCACCTTACTGGTGTAATAAATTATTTCAATTCATTCAACAATTAATTTATTGGGTGCCTACCACTGCACTACATGCTGAAAACACAAGAGATAATTAAGACACAGACCATTCCCTCAAGGAGTGCCCAGTTAATGGGGAAAAAAGATTAGAAAATCATGGGTTATAATATGGTGTGAGGAATACTGCAAGAGGTATGCACAAGGTATGATGGGGACACAGAGAGGATGCTCAATTCAGCCTAGCTTGAGGTGGGGTTTGGAAGATCAAAAAATACTTAGAAGAAGAAGAAATGCTTTAGCATTGTAATGAAAGAGGAATAGAAAATGAACAGGAGTTAGGTGGATGTGGAGAATGGGAGAGGAGAGAGCAGGAGGGGCTGAGGGACAATTCATGCACCAAGCGGCCTGTGCAAGGGCCAGGAGGCAAGAGAGAAGATGCTTCATTTGAGAAACTGCAAATTATTTGTTATGGCCTATTTTAAATGACTGGAAGGATATATACCAAACCATTAACATTGGTTATCTCCCAGGTTGGGGAAGGGTGAAATTATAAAAAGACACGTACTTTCCAAGTACATAAAAAATGTTTACAATGAGCAGACCTTACTAGGAAAACAATGTATTTTTTAAAAAATTTTGAAAAATGTAAATGCTTATTACAAAAAACTTTGCAATAGAGAAAAATATAACAAATAAAGATTTTTTAAAGTATTGTGTTCCTACCACCCAAAGATAACCACGGTTAAAATGTTGGTATACAATTTTCCAGATGTTAATACATGTATACATATAGTTATATGCTCTTTATAACAAATGAAATCAGAGAAAGATGTATTTTAAAAAGTTAAAAATTTTTTCTTAATCTCCCGTTCAACCCCACCTCCCAGAGATAACGAATGTGAAGAGTCTGGTGTACATCCTCCTCCACTCTGTTCTCCAAGATTATAGAAACATATGCAAACATACATATATGATTTTTCGTAAATTTTACAAAAATGGGATAATAGATAACATTACTTATTTAGCTTTACATGCACTTACATCATTCAGTCCTCATCAGAGACCCACAGGTAAAAACTGAGATTCAGTTATAGTACAAGATTATATAGTAAGTGGCAAAGTAGGGCTTAACCTGAGATCTTTCTGGTCTATCTTGTTGGTTTCAGAAAGTCATTGGCGGTTTTAAAAGACATACTCAGATTCTTCTGATGACAGAGTAGGGCAGAAGGCAGACCTGATGTCAGAGGTCTGTCGTGGTGCGGGGGAAAAATGAGGGGGAACTGGCCTAGGATGGGGAGAGTGGAGGTAGACAGACTCCAGACCCGTTTTGGGGGGGCGGGGCCAGGATTTATACCCATTTAGAGTGACTGGGTTGGTCAGTCCCTAGCCAATAAGGTATGGGGCTCCACCCCTGGCTCCACCCTCTTCCTCCAGGGATTACCCAAAGCCACTGAAGGGTTGGCAGCTATTTCCTGTTCTAGAACATTCCCTGCCTAGGAGAGCCCCCCCCCCCCCCGCATGGGACAAACCATTATGGTGTAGGGGGGAATTTTTTGACTTGATTGTAAGCGCTTCATTTTCTTGGTTCTAAGTCTTTTCTGACCACTCTTGTTTCTTCCCGCCTTCAAGGGCTTTCAGCCATATGGTGGGTTCCCTTACATCCTGTGGAGGGGCAGGGGACTGCCTCGCCAGCTCCCTCCCACCCCCGCAGTCTCCGGAAATTGGACCAGTCCACGAGTAAAAGCCTCAAGGCTTGTCCCCAGGCTTTCCTTTCCCCGGAGCCCTGGGAAGGAGAGAGGTTCTCTTCTCTCTTTGATTGAGCCTGGTGGGCGGGCGTGCTTGGTCCGTACTTCCTCAGTCCCCTGGCTGAAGAGGTGAGGCAGGGTGGGAAGATGTCCTAAAGCCGGACAAGCCCTCAGGGGGTCATTAGGAGGATACGGTCTGAGGGGATAAGGGGAGGGGGAGGGGAAGGGTGGGGGACGGAAGGGGTTAAGGGAGAGAGGCGGGGCTGAGAGGGGAGGATGCCACTCGTTCATCCATCCTCACAGCGCCAGCGAAACCGCTAAGGCCCTACGTCATCATGGCCTTGAAACCGGATGACCCGTGTGGTGGGTTCCAGCATGGCACGGTGGTGGCCTTCATCAACGACAAGATGGCCAAGCACGTGAAAGGCCCTGAGTTCTATCTCAAGAATATATCCCTGTCCTGGGGGGAGGTGGAAAACAAGCTCAAGGCCATCCTGGAGGACAAAGAGATGCCCAGCCAGGCCAAGGAGGCCTGTACCTGGGGCGGCCTGGCCCTGGGCGTGCGCTGTGCCCGCAGGCAGAGGCAGTTGCAAGGGTGCAGGGTGCGGTGGCTGAACGACTATGCCAGACTACACAGGTCGGCCGCGCAGGCCTTGGCCTCAAGCCTGCAGGAGCTCAGGGCGCAGCAGGAAACGGAGCGGAAGGCTTCGGCCTTCCGGCTGCAGATGGCCCAGGCCAGCCTCGCTGAGGTGGAGAAAGAGCGGGACCTGCTGAGATGGAAGCTCCTCCAGGCCGTAAGATTACCTGACTGATCCTCGCCCAGTTCCCCCGCCCCCCTCCGCTTCCCTCCCTGAGAGCACATCTCAGCCCTGCACATTTCTCTCCAGGAGCTGAGGTACCACGAACAGGTCAAAGCCCGAGGGGCTGGGACAGACGGAGCAGGTGAGGAGGAAGAGGCAGCGATGGCGGCTGCTGCTGGTACTGCTGAAGGAGGAGGAGGAGAGCAGAGGGGTGCCAAGGCAGAGGCTGCGCCCACAGAGGCTGCACAGGACCTCGCCGGAGGCTTCCTGCAGCCTCTCGGAGCTGTGGGGACAAATTACACCTCTGGGGGGCGGAGGGAGGGAGATCTCAGGTCAGTGGAAACAGCCATGTTTTCTTCCTCTGGGACCCAGGAGCCCCAGGCCAGCAGCTCACTGGAGCCCCTTCCTGTCCAGCTCCCTGCCTCATTCTCATATTCATACGCAAGCCCTCTGTCCTCCTTCTCAGCTGGACCCACTCCGTCCCCACCAACAGAAAGGGCCACACCACCTCCACCTCCGCCTCAGATGCCTCCGCAGTGGGGGGGCTATGATTCTAACCTGTGGTCTGATGTGGGGTACCAGGGAATAGACCCTCAGCAACTCCAAAGAGATCGGAGAGAGCCCCATCGCTATGATTCTCTCCAGTATTTCGCAGGCCCGGAGACTGGGACTGCCCTTGGTGTAAAGCCGTGAATTTTTCATGGAGGGAAATTTGCTTCCGCTGTGGGAGGGGAATCTGGCTGCAAAACTCTCAGTGAATTCAGAAATGTGAAATAGAAGGGAAATATATCCCAATGGGAAATCAATTTTCTGGGGGGGGGGGCTGGGTGGAGTGGGGGAAAGGGGATGATGGGGCAAGGGGAGTGGGAGGGAGGTGGGGTGGGAGGTGGGGAGTGTGTAGATGGTTGGGGGGGAGACATGTTTTGATGATGCCCTTTGTATTCCAGAGCATTAGCATTCAACACCCCAGAACTACTGCCGCTTCTATTTGTGTGTGTGTGTGTGTGTGTGTGTCTCTATCTCTCTCCGCTCCTTAGTGCCTGGTGGATCTAGGCACCCTACCCTTTCCCCTACCTAGACCCTAGATGATTGGAACAGAAGTGGACATTTGACCCATCCTGAGCCCAACAGACTTTATCACTAGAGAATCTGAACAGAGAGGCAGATTCTAGTCAGGATGGTGTTGGGCAATGAAGCAATGAGCCACTTGGAGTTGGGGCCAGGGTCAGAGCCATGGACGCCAATGCCACAGCTGAGGCCTGGCCCTGGCTGTGTTGGAACAGAACTGGATGCTTCACAGAGGCAAGTGTCTTTTAGAGGATTCCATTATGAGGTTCCAGGGAGCAGACAGGCATAGAGGAGTTCATCCTGTGACTCCAGAGTGATGGAGAGAGTGGTGGTGCCCAACCACTTTTTACTTCCTGCAACTGTGCTACCTGAAGATCCACTTTACACAGATTCCCTTTTCTTTAAGCTAACTTGAGTGGGTTCCTGTTCTGGGCAACCAGATTATTTCCAAGTCAGAAACTTGTACCAAAAGAGCAATTTCAAACAAAAGACCATCAAAGAAAATGTTGGAACTGACGAGGGAGTTACATCAGGGTGTGGAGAGTAGACGGGATTCTGGCATCCCAAGAGTCTCCAGGAATGAACTGGATAGGAAGCTCATTCGTGTTCTGAGGGAGTTATAGCACGAGAAACAATCAAAACAGGCCTGGGGTTAACCTCAGGTTCATGCTGACTCAAATCCACACAGCAGAGATTTGCCACCCCTAAGAGAATCCCTCAGGGCTGCATACAGAGGATGCCAGCACTAGCTGCAGGCGAGGACTGCTATGACTGTGCAGCCCATGACAGAATCCACCGCAGTTTCCAGTGGGCAGAACCTGGGACAGCCTGATCTGAACAGGGAACTCATGCCACTGCCAGGGAGGTAAGTCAGCAACTGATAGTGCCCCAGACGGTTTCCTGGTCTAGACCACGGGCCAAAGTGTGGTGCCACCTTGAGAGAGTCTCTCCCCCTACCTATCACCACGACGAATGTGGGAGGGGAATCTGCTACAAAGCTCTCAGTGAGTAAAGCAATGTGAAATACAACAGAAACATATCCCTTGGGGAAATCAACTTCCAGAAGGAGGGGATGAGGTGGGGGAGGATGGGAGTGGGTAGGGTAAGGGGTGGGTGAGGTTGGTCTGTTTCTCTCCCTCAAATAACTATGAGCAGTGTTGACAGGGACTAAATGTATGGTTTAGCCCACAGGTGGAAGGATGGCGAGGGGTTACAGCTGGACCAGACTGAGTCACAACTGGAGGAGCCCTGGACATCGCCCCATGGACCTAGAGACTCAGAAGCTGTCATGGCCCGGGAACATCCCTGCAGCAACTGGATGTGACTTTGGGTTGTCTCCTGTTGAGGGTATAACAGTCATCGTCAGGATTTGGGGCCTGATCCCTAGCCAGTTCTTAAAGGGCCTGCGCTTGTCAGAAATGTACTTTGGGCTTATTAATATCCAGGGCAGGGTTTCCCCACATTGGCACTCTTGACATTTGAAGCCAGATACGATTTTATTTCTGGAGCCTGTCCCATGCGTTGTAGGATGTTTAGCAGAATCCCTGGCCTGAACTCACTAGATGCCAGTAGCACCCATCCTCCCACACCACCCCAACTGTGACAACCAAAAGCGTCTCCAGATTATCGCCACATGTCCACTAGAGGACAAAACCGTCCCTGGTGGGAAGCAGGGAGGCAATGAGGTATTTGCAAGCAGTCAGAACAGGAAAGGAATCAAAAGTAAAAAAGGTCACGGAGGCTGAAGAGCCCTCTAAGATAGGAGCTGAAAGGTGGATCTTCGTTCACTTTGGATCTTCTCGAGCACATACAGGGGAGTGGCGGGGGCGAAGCAAAACTGCAGGACTCAGGAGTGAGTGGGAAGGGAGCGAGTGAGTCAGGGAGGGAGGCTCTTCTTCAAGGCCTCTGGGCCGTAAAGGGAGGGAGTGAGATGGGGTACATGGTTGAGGGATGTTCTTTTGTGTATGGGAGACACTTGAGCCATGGGGAAGCAGACAGCTGAAGAAAACCTTGAAAACAAGAAAAATGTAAAAGATTGGGATCCTGCATATCGTGTCAGAGGCATGTCCACTGTGTTGTTAAACTTTTAAAAAACCATATGATAGGACCTTTTGTTTTTTTGCATAAAAAATAATCCCCCGAAAGTTCTAGATGTGACTTTGGGTTGTCTCCTGGTGGAGAGGGTGTGGACAATCATCATCAGGATTGGGGGCCAGATCCCAAGCCTGCACTTTTCAGAAATGTCTGGCCTTGTTTATATCTCTCTAGGACAGAGTTTCCTAACCTCAGCACTCTTGACATTTGAAATTGGATAATTCTTTGTTGCAGGAGGCTGTCCTGCGCATTGTAGGATGTTTAGCAGAATCCCTAGCCTCTACCCACTAGATGTGGGGAGCACCCCCTCCTGCACCCCCAGTTGTGACAACCAAAAATATTTCCAGATACTGCCACATATCCACTAGAGGTCAAAAACCGTCCCTGGTGGGAATCAGGGAGGCAATGAGGTACTTAGGAACAGTTAGAACAGGGTAATAATCAAAAGAGAAAAAGGTCAGGGAGGCTGAAGGGACCCTCTAAGATAGGAGCCGAAAAGTGGCCATCGGGTCTGGCGGTTTACTTTGGATCTTCGGTTTACTTTGGATCTTCAAGCAGTATAGGGGAGTGGTGGGGGCAGAAGCGAAACTGCAGGACTCAGGAGTGAATGGGAAGTGAGGAAGTGAGTCAGTGAGGGAGGCTCTTCTTTAAGGACTCTTGGCTGTGAAAGGAAGGAGTGAGGGATACATGGTTGAGAGAGGGTTCTTTTGAATGTGGGAGAAATCTGAGCCATGGGGAAGAAGATACTTGAAGAAAGCTTGAAAATGGAAGAACTATGTGAACTATGCATCCTGGTCGATCCTGCATACTGCATTGGAGCCATAGCCACTGTATTGTTAAATGAAAAAAAAATCATATGACGGGGTCATTTCTGGTTTTTGTAAAACAAAACCCCAAAAGTTCTGTAAATATGTTTGTATGTTACATATATTTATATGTAGATTTATGCTTGCTTTATGTTCGAGTAAACATAGAAAAGGGTCTGAAAAGAGACTTAGCAAACGAGGTTATTATGTAGAGAGGGTGGGCTCAGGGACAGGGAATGGGAGGCAGTGGGGTATGGGGGCATAGAGTGGGATGGGGTACGGGGCAACTGGGTGGATGGATTTTATTTCTTTGTATGCTTCTGTGTTGTGAAAGTAAAATGATTAAATAAATGTTCACAAAAATACAAAAAATAAAAGGAAGTGAATTTACTGCTTTGGGTGGATTGGAAGGACCACCTTTTCCTCTGGGACAGGAGGGAAGAAGGAGAACAAACATTGATCTATGCAGCAAAGGCAGAGGGTGGGGAACAAGGGGGCTCCTTGTATGTGATGTGGACAAAGCACCTGAGAGTGAGTGAAGATGGAAGATCAGGATAAGGATGGGGGCTTTAGGCACTCTGGGGAGTAACTGGAGGGGGGTGAAGGTGAGGAGTGGAGGGAGATATAAGGATCATCAAGCAGCATGGAGTAGGATAGTATCCAACTGAAAGAAAACTAAGGGGGAGAACAGTGGGTATCTAGGAGGAAAAGGAAGGAGGGTGGATCCAGGAGTGACACCAGACACAAATCTCTCAGGTGTTGCAACCTGCCATCTATTCATTACAGGAGAAATAGCACATGCAAAGGGGAAAAGGCAGGAATGACAGGCAGAGATCTGTGTCTGACTCCTTCCCCTTCTAGGCTTGTAGCAAATCTTTTCATTTGTTGCTCTGCTATGGAGAAGCTGAGCACTAGCTATACTTTGTTTTCAGGTCCAACTAGCTGGGAGTGCAATTTCTAGCAATCCAGTCTTTACCTACAAATACCTAAGAGTTTAAAGTGAAGTTCAACTTACTTCAGGTCTTTGATTTTACAGTATGGATTACGCAGTGCCTGGCAGAGCAAGTGTAGCTGAGACATTGGCAAATCGTGCAGCTGACAGGATCTAAAAGAGTTGAGAAAGCAAAAATAATTTAAAACAAAACAAGTAAAAGGTTATTTTGGCTTTTGTCACCATGCTAGTACCAATTTACCCCTTCCCAAAATCTTAAGAGGTATTATCCCATTTTGCAAAAAAGAAAATTAAAGCACAAAAAGTTAAGTAATTTGCTCAAGATCACATAGGAAAGTATGAAACAGAGATCATTACTCAGGTCTGACTCCAAAGCCATGTTACTATGTGCCAAGCACCTAGGCAAGCACTCTACATACACAAATTATCTTATCTGGCCCTTAACCCAATGACAGGTATTGTAATCACCATTTTGAGGATGCTCTAAGAGGTTAAGTGACATTCCCAAGCTACCTTTACAATATAACTGGTTCTTGGTTATCAATACTGATAGAAGAATTAATGATAATAATTGAAAACTAAGAAAGTTCAATAGTAAACCCTCACTTAGCCAAAATGTTTGGGAAAGGAG